ACCGGGATGTCAGCACTCCAGGCCAGGGCATTAACATGCTGTGCCACATCACTGGCCCTGTGAATGTAGTCTTAAAAATTATTTATTTTTACTGTATTTGAAAGGCAGAGTCTTCACTGTAACTTCTAATGGTAAAAAAAAAAAAAACAACACAACTTTTGGCCTCCACAAAATGCTGTCCTACGTTCTTGTGTGTTTTAGGAAATGGTTAATATGAGGACCCTTTCATTGCAAAATGTTGGTTTAGCTTACGCTCGTGTTCTGGGGTGCATGGATTTTTCATCTTGGAGCAGAGTTGATCTCCCCAGAGTAGCTGCCTGCAGGAATTCCAACCACTGATGCCTTTGGCTGCTCTGAGTTGAATGGTGTGTGCACCTGCTGTTCCTCTGCAGGTAGGAGACGAGGAGGCCTTGTGCTGTAACCTTCGGTGGAACACAGTCGGGACCATCTTTCCCAACTGCTGTGGCAGGTTGATTTGCATGGGCTACCCCAGCCCTGAAGGAGGCTTGCTAAGTCTCTGATCTGGAACAAGTCGTGGGCACGCACTCACTGTTCTGCTGTTGAGCCTGTGGGGCTAGGATGTGGTCGCCTTTCTTCTCACCTGAGTCCTACCTTCTCTCCATACCTTCTATTCTAAACAAGCCTATGACAACTCATATCTAAAAACTATCTGTAGCAACAGCAAAACCCAACTGTTCTTTTCTCCTAGGAGACTACTCGGTTATTATGAGGGAGCTCAGAAAACAAATGTTATGGTTGCACTTTGGAAACTTACAGTGACAATATGGTCCAGTGCAATTAACAACATAATGTGGAATACAAGCAAACGGGAAAAGTGTAAAAGATACTAAGTACCCAGTCTATAGCTAATTTGTTCCTGGTGGACACTGTGTTTCTATTACTGCCTGATTAGTCGTTCAATCAATTAAGCAAAACTAACTTGGCTAATAACTTCCTTCCTGGAGATAAATGATCAGAAAGTAAACTATAGCAAGTGATCCAATGAAAACATTTGACACCTGGATAGTCATGTAATAGACTGTTATTTATTCTTGTGACAATCTTTCTTTATGTAATGACCTTGGCCAAATATCATCGGATTGCTAATGTTACATAAGCACAGGATCTATAGTTTGATGATCATGCATTTTGGAAATAACTACGCAACCAGTGCACAACTCTGGAGTATGAAATGCAGACACTTCACATGTTCAACATCTTCCTCCTGAGAGGAAGCCAGGCACCTAAAATCCAATCCAGAGAGGAGAGGCAGAGAGAGAGAGAGAGAGAGAGAGAGAGAGAGAGAGAGAGAAGTCTTCTATCCGCTGGTTCACTCCCCAGATGGCTGCAATAGCCAGAGTTGAGCTGATTCGAAGAGGAGACGGCTAAGAGCATTCAAGCAATCACACATTACCTGCTACCTGTGAAAGACCTTGCTTACTTTATAGATGTCTAGCACACTTTCTCCTCTTTGTGGATATCTTGATTATCTATTTCCTCTAAAATATCAATAAAACTCAATAATAGGTAAGGACTCTGAGTTAGGACAATTGAGAAAACTGGTTTGAATTTGTGGGAGTTCAGGTTAAATTTATTTGAGACTCATAATTCAAGTCTTTAAAAAAGAATTTTTTTAAACTTATTTTCACTTCAGTTGAAAAGCAAAGTCTGGGGTGGGAGAGAGTGAGGGATTGATTTTCAGTCTGTTGGTTTACTCCCCAAATGCTCACAACAGCCAGGGCCAGCCCAGGTCAAAGCCAGGCACCTAAAATCCAATCCAGGGGTGGCAGGGAACTGAATAATGGAACCATCCCCTGCTGCCTCACAGGGTGTGTGTCAGTAGAAAGATAGGAAGAAAGCAGAGTTGGGAGTTGAACCAGGGACCCCACATAGAATGGCACACCCAAATAGCATCTTAACAGCTGATCTAACACCTACCCCAAACCAAAAATCCAGTTGTACTGGGTAAGATATATTTAGCAAGAATAAGGAGAGGAAGAAAAAGCATGTTCGGATATAATTCCAGTCTGGTTATAAACCTGTCTGTTAGGAATGGCAAAGCTCTGAGAACAATGAAGCAAGGTAGAAAAGATTACCAGTGGGATTTGAGAAAATGCTTTAGACCTTGGGGAATTGGCTGAGTGAATGGTTAGGAAAGCCGGGCGTTGGGGAAGAGAGGGCCATATTCCGTGTTTTCAGACTCTTACTGCAGTGTTCATAAAGTCGCTCCTCTTTATGGACTCAGTAATGGGAGAAGTTTTCCTTTCTGAGAGTTGTCAGCCCCCACATTAGCGAGATTCTGATGTGGTCTTCAACTCCTGGAGCGTGGTATCCACAGGCACTCAGTCTCTGTTCTTCCTTCAGTCTGCCCTAGACTGTGTGATGCATGACCTTCCCAATGACCTGGGGCTGAGCTGCATATCCTCAATGCTTTCTTGTTCACCTGTGTGGATTCTGGCATCTCCAAGCTTGACTGAAGCTGTGACTCCTCAAGATTGCCTTTGTCACCTGTGTTTTCTGGCATCTCCAAGCCCGATTGCAACCTGGCACCTTTTGATTGGTGCGCTCTGCCTGGGTAGCAGCTGAAATTCCTCCTGCAAGAGGGTGCCTCACCTCCTCGTGGGCGCTGGAGCTCTGCTTTCCTTTGCCATAGTTCCTCCGTCCCTGCGCTCCCCACTATGAAACTCCTGGTTCTCCTGGCCCTCCTTGCTCTGTCTACCATGCCGGTGTCTGCTCGTAAGTAAAGATGTTTCCTGGATTAAACCTCAGAGGAGCAGCACCTAGAATTCTCCCTCTAGCAGATTTGTCTTTGGGAAACACAGAGCTTTTGTAGTCAGCCCCATTAGTTCTGGCGCAGTCTATTTTTGTTTAACAACGCATAAGATAGTTGACTCAACATTGGAGATTTTCCTAATCAGTGGAGCCCTTGAATTCAAACCTTCCTGTCAGTTGGTGTACTCCAAGGAAACCAGCCAGTTTCTCGTGTCAGCAAGATTCTGTTGAAGAATGTCATTAGCATTATTTTCAGAAATGTTACCATATATATCTTACGTGTTTCTTTGGGGGGGGGAGGGGAGTCTGTTATGTGTAATTTTGCTTCCTCTTAATTGTGAGAGTCCTAGTAAGACTTCAGATTCCCCTTTCTTCCTCCCACAAGCTGGCCTTCTCTTCACCTCCCACTCTTGTTCTTTTCCATTTAGAGGAAGAGAGCTCCCTCACTACTGTGAACTACGTTAAAGGTAAGTCTGAACCTGCACTTCCCCGCTCCCGCTAAGGAACACTTGCCAACTCCACATTCATCTAGATCGCTTTACTTAAGAGAAATAAGCAGCGGCATTTTGAGTGTGAGTGGGGTCACTAGGAGCGTGAGGGTATAGGATTGCTCATCTGCCTCATCCTGTCATCTGCATGACTTATGGGCTCAATGTTTGAAATATTTCATTCTTGGGAGAGAAAATTCCAGGACATCATGAAGATCTAGGGAGATTCCAGGGAAGCCACGTTCTTACTTCTAAAAGGTGATTAATCATTGGTAACTCATGTATTTATACCCTACCTATTACAGAACACCGAGTCTCTGAAATGGAGTTACAGGAAGAGCGGGTTAATCACTCATGCTATCGGAAGGAGGGCTGTGAAGATGCTGCCTGATTTTGCAGCCTGAGGGTTTTGGCGAAATACGTGGACAGCCTTTCTGCTTACCTTCTTTTGAAAGCCCAACCAAATCACTACGTTGAGAAGGGAAAGCCCCTGCTCCCTGAGTGCAGGACAGGCTGTGATGCCCATGGTTACCAAAGGGAGGAAGAACAATGGGAAGGCATGGGGACACACAGCAGGGGGCGATGGTGGGTGGGGACCAGGGGATTATGGGTGACAAAGCTTCTACTGTGGGTGTTCTCACAGTGCACTCACCCTTTCTTGGGCTGTGATTCCTTTCCTGGCCTCCCCTGGGTGACAGTTGTCTCTGGAAGCCATTGTGGTTGGCAAAGGACACAGTGAATTCTGTGTTTCCTCCCTGCATCACGAATTTCCCTTGAGTTGTGCTGAGTCAGAGATTGGGGTGTCCCTTTCTTCCATTACAAAAATGGGCAATTGGTGTGATTACGGGTTTTATTCCCACCTGTCCTTGACCTTGATCACCTGAGGGCTTGAAGCCAGGAGCCTGGAACTCCAATGCGTCTCCCATGTGAGTGGCAAGGATCCTAGTACTTGCACCGTCTTCCACTGCTTTTAAAGACACATTAGTAGGGAGCTGGATTGGAACTGGAACAGCTGGGACTTGAACTGCTGTTCATATGTGTTGCCGCCGGCCGGCGCCGCAACTCACTAGGCTAATCCTCCGCCTAGCGGCGCCGGCACACAGGGTTCTAGTCCCGGTCGGGGCGCCGGAATCTGTCCCGGTTGCCCCTCTTCCAGGCCAGCTCTCTGCTGTGGCCAGGGAGTGCAGTGGAGGATGGCCCAGGTGCTTGGGCCCTGCACCCCATGGGAGACCAGGAAAAGCACCTGGCTCCTGGCTCCTGCCATCGGATCAGCGCTGTGCGCCGGCCGCAGCGCGCCGGCTGCGGCGGCCATTGGAGGGTGAACCAACGGCAAAAGGAAGACCTTTCTCTCTGTCTCTCTCTCACTGTCCACTCTGCCAGTCCAAAAAAAAAAAAAAAAGTGTTGCCGCCAACTCAGGTGGTAGCTTCACCAAATCCTCCCCTATGCTGGCCCCCTGGACCGTCTTATTTACAGCAAGGCCATGCCATCATCATTGTTAGAAGCTCAGGTGCAAAATGTAGGACTTCACAATTGTTGTTACTACCTGACGTCATCTCCCTGAACATGGAGTGAAAGATGGGGCAGTTCTGCATGTTCCTATCTTGCCATGATTCCATCAGTTTTCTTCATTTCCTTCTCATTGGTGTCACAATCAAGGACAGACATTGGTGACAGGTCCCAAGCACTTGAGCCACCCTCTTATGCGTTTCCAGGCGCATTAGCAGGGAGGTAGATCGGAAGTAGAGCAGCATTCAGCTGCCGGGGCTTGAACTGGTGCCCATATGGGATGCTGGCCCTGTAGATAGAGGCTTAACCTCTCATGCCACAGCACCGGCACCTCCTGGAGAACTAATGGGATTCTGGAAGCTGCTCCAGGGTGCTTCTGGTTCCTGTGTCAGGGTGGACTATGGCTTTCAGGGCAGGAGCAGGCAGGAGAAACCCCCTGTGTTCTGCGCGCTCTCTCACTTTGTTTCCATAGCCAGTAGGGAACAGTAGAGGGATGCCCTGAGGGATGGTCTTCTGGGCTCCACCTTGGCTTGTGTCTCACTGCAGCCCACAGGCTGTGCTGCTTCATTCTTAGCAGCAGTTACTCTGCAAAGACCAAAGGAAACAAATTTGTCCATGCATCTTGTTGGGGAAGGTAAGATCAGCGAATGCCATCTTTGTTTGCAAACTTTCCTAAAAATTGGAAAACAACTTTTTTTGTTGGATATTTCATGGGGGAAACTGTGGGTCAGCTACTTTATGGGTTCTTCAGTGCATTTGGAGAGTATTTAATGCCCTTGAAAGTCAAGATTCAGGCTTGGCTTTCAGGATTACTCATTACTTATCTGCTCTGTTTTCCTGTCTACACCCATACTGATTAAACTCAAGCAATTTTAGATTGTGAGGGCACTTTAACACGTTCCCGGAAAATGGAATTAAAAGATAATCTTATTTTAGTGCAAAAACATTTTAAAGTCCATAGAAAAGAGGACTCTTCAGAAAGTTCCTGGACAATGCGTATTTTGAAAAGTGTGTGCACAAATTTTAATATCTTTTGCACCAAAATAAACATCTATTAATGTAACGTTTCCACGAACTCTTTGGAATCATTTAGTATTTCTGAGATGATTATTTTGTGTATAACGTATGGTTTCATTCTTACGCCAACATTTCGAAGTAGGAAATTCTGAGAGGAGGACCCAGATGTACAGAGACAGTGAGTAGCCGTTTGTGTGCAGGCAGAGCATGGGAGGTGCCGATTTGTATTAAAGTGAGGGAAGTCCCGAGGAGGCTTTGTCGTTACTGAGCTGCAGGGTTTGCTTGTGTGGGCACAAGATCAAGAATCTGCACCTTAACCCCCCTTCACAAGAAGCTTGTTGCATGTCTTAGGGAGACAGGACATCTAGGAATCCTTTTCGTGGCACAGTTTCAGCTCCTCTCAGGGTTTCTGGTTGCTTGGGTCGCGTCCTCTTGCAGGGCTGTTGGTCTTCCCGCAGGTCCTGGGTCTCGGGGACTCTGACTGCTGTGACTTGAGTGGCAGAGGCACTGCCGTTGTCCTGGAAGTGGAAACAACAGCTCTGTTCTGTAGCTTCAGCGCAGCGCAGCTGTCAACGGCTTCTCTCCTCTCTGTGTTACAGTGGTTCCTTCCTGGTTTTACGCAGCATGGAAGTATTTCACAGATCAGCTGAAGGTTATTCTGGAGCGTGTGTCACCTTCATAGAAGACCTTTCTTCCTTGGAGCCTCTCGTGTAGCATGAACCTGCATTTCTTCTCATTTGACTGACCACCTACTTTCAAATCATTTGATCCCCAACAATTTTGTCTGTATTCAAATAAAGTAGACTCACTATCAATGTCAAACTTAGAGTGTGTGACTGCTTCCAAAACTGCCCAGCAGCAATAGAAGAAAATCAGGAAACACCCAGAATCCAAGAGTCTTCCTCGTAAAATCTTTTCTAGGCATAAAGGTCACCACCAAGATGGCCAAATAGGAAGCCGTGGCCCTTCCTGCTCATGGACAAGGCAGTCAGCAGCAGGAAATGGTCCAATCCCTTCGTGAGACACCTGGGCCCCAGGTGAGCGGTGCTTGAACCCTGGATCCACATTAACCAGTCCTGTCAAAGCCAGGATGGACATTTTCTTGACTCCTCCCTCCAGAACCACACTCTAGAAGTGAGCTTCTTCCTAGGGACGCAGGGATCGAAGGGCCAGGCATCCAACGTTTCCATTTTCTGGGGCTGCTTGAGGGGCTGGCTTCTCTCTCTCCCATCACTGAGTACTGGCAGCACCCAGCATACTCTAGACGTTTGGATATCACTGAGACCCATGATGCTTGCTTCGTAGCGCTAGCATAGCTGAGTGCAGAACAGACAGGCAAAGAAAATGAAATCACGGCTTACCCATTGCTAAAGAGGGAAAGTGCTGGGTGCGAATCAATCTTCCAGCGTCTCAAGGGCTGCTGAAGGGACTCGCTTCTGTCTCACTTTTCCTGGAGCATTGGCTGAAACGAGGCTACTCTACATGTCCATGGGTCCCTGAGCACAAAGTCAAACGTTTTGTGTGATAAGCAATTATCCTCCAAAGTCCCTCCTTCTGGTTTCTTGTCACCCAAGAGGAAAATCTCTAGCCCCTGGTTAACCTCTGGGTAGTGAAGGAGAAGTCTGAACCATCCTAGGGGCCTTGGAAAAGTTCATGAAAAATGTGTATTATTTTTTAATATAGTCTGTATGCACATTAAATATATTTGCACCCAAATAAATGTACCTTTAATTCCATTTTCTCATTAATTTTCTAAAATCTTCCCCCATGCCTAATGCAATGCCATTCTGGGAGCTGCTCACGGGACTGATCCCTAAGCACTGACACCATAGGGCCCAGGTTGGAGGATGCTGGAAACAACTGTGATGGTTTGGACGACACACGTGCGCCTGCACCACCTGCTCCTCCCAGCTCGCTGTAGAGTGAGCGAGAAAACACCTCCAAATCCAAGCTTTCCACTGGGGAAGAGTTGGGGTGGCAGGAAAAGAGTTGGGGTGGCATCCAGCGCCCCAACTTTATTGGGGGAGGGGTGCTGCCTGAGACACTGGCTTGCGTCTTATTTGTTTTGGTTGCTGAAGATCATTCCACACACTCTAGATGCCTGGGAGCTACTGACAACCAAAACAAGAGCTTGGCTGGTTGTGTGGTTATGGTGCCTGTGACCACATAACAGTGCCTGGCTTCAGTCCTGGGAGGCAGCAGGTGAGGGCCCCAGTAATTTTGCTCCTGTCCCCCAGGTGGGACACCTTGATTGAATGCTTGGTACCCGGCATTGACCCTGGTCCTGCCTCAGCTGTTGTGGGCATTTGGGGATTGAACCAGTGAGTGGGAACTGTCTCTATAAAAACTAAATAAATTTTTAAAAATTAAAAAAAGAAATTCAAGGATGTGGCTGCTACACAACACTCCTAAGAATTCATGGATCCCTCTGGGGAAAATCTGAAAAGTCCTTCTACTTGGGAATTTTAATTTATTTTCATTTATTTTGAAATAGAAGGAAAAAGAGAGAGAATCTTCCATCCTCTGGTTCATTCTTCAAATGGCTGCAGCAGCCTGGGTTGGGCCAGGACAAAGCCTGGAGCCCAGAACTTAATCAGGGTTTCCCATGTGGGAAGCAGGAACACAAGTACTTGAGCCGTGTTTTGGGCACATCCCTTTAAAGAGTCCTATTGCTTCAACTCAGGTACAGTCTTTGCCATGACTCTTACGTGGCAGTTTACTAATGGTTTCTATCATTTATTTCCTTATCTCAAATGTTGACTTCTTGGGGCCGGCTCTGTGGCACAGTAGGCTAAGCCTCTGACTGAGGCACTGCCAACATCGCATATGGGCATCAGTTCATGCCTACTTACCACTTGCTGAATTCTTTATTAAGTGGAGGACTGAACTTGTGATTATAAAATACATCGAAAGTATGTCACTGCAAATATTTTAAGAAAAATAAGGAAGGAAGGAAGGAGGAGGGAGGGTGGGAAGTATAAATACATCTTAAAACTGTACAGATCAGCCCGGCACTGTGGTATAGCGGGTAAACCACTGCCTGCAGAGCTGGCGTCGCATATGGGCACCATTTCAAATCCTAGCTGCTCTGAAGATGACGCAAGTCCTTGGGCCTCTGTACCCTCATGGGAGACCCAGAAGAAGCTCCTGGTTCCTGGCTTTGGATCAGTCAGTGCATCTCTGGCTGTTGCTGCTATTTGGGAAGCGAACCAGTGATGGAAGACTTTCTCTCTCCTTCTGCCTTTCAAATAAAAAAAAATTTTGTATATATGAAATACATGAAATGTGTTCCTGTAATACAAATAAATAGATAAATAAAGGAAAAAAGTTACTACTTCTTAAGTTATTGTGAAATTAACATAACATTTATATGTGAAAATGTCAAATATATTGGTTGACACAGCTATTTTCCCAGAAATTCTGTTCATATGTATAGATTTTGTGTTTAACATAAGTCATCCCATATCTGAGCAGGCTGGCTAAAGTCATTGTATAGAGAACACAGGAGAAAATAGTAGCTTACACACCTGGCATCCAGCTGACCCCACAGGTCCATGGGTCAGATGCATTTTCTTTTCCCCTGATGATTTGTTCACATTAAAAACATTAATGCCAACATAGTTTTGTTAAAAAATTAGTTAAGTGGTCAGAAAGAAAAGCAATTTCTGTCTGATTGAAATCATTTATAACTGGGTAACGTGTGTTTTGCATCATTAGCCACGCAGTTTATATCTTTGATTGTATTGTTCACTGTCTAAGGTTTGTATTTGTTGCCGTAGGCTTCCAAAGTGCAACTAAAAGTTGGTCGCTAGCTGATTTTTCTCTAGTCCGCGCTGGGTAGCTTTATAAGCAGGAGTACACACTAATCTTGACCTTGATATTACGTCTACTTTCGTGGAGTAAGCTCGCCTGGGACAGCCGTTAGGAAGGGTGGGTGGCAACCAGATGTGAAGAAACACAGTTCCTTCGGATCCGCAGGCTCCGAGGTAGAAAGGTCAGGAATGCAGGTGGCTGATTCCCGTTCAGGCAGTCCGTCAACTCCTTGCACACCGAGGAGAGCCAGGCAGAGGAAACTCAAAGGAAAGATCTGTGGGGAGTGTCGCCCCGAAGGGTACAGACTAGCCTCCTTGTTTGCGACTGGAGAGCAGCAGTGCCTGACGCCTGCGCACCCGGAACCTGGTCCTTGTGGGAGGGGCAGCTTATCTGCAGGAGATACCATCTGTGCAACCAGGGCGCGCAAGGGCAGGGGTCCCGAGTTTCCGGTTTCTCAAAACCTGGGAACCCGGCCTTCTCGTGGAGGGAGACAGTCATGTCACAGTCACAGGAAGTCAGGACACAGGTTCTTGATCCTGCGTCATGCCAGGCCCACACAGGGAAACCCTCCACGGCAATACCGAGGACGCCTCCTCGGGACTCAGATCACTTCAGTCCAAAGCGGCGCCGCCACGCTCTCTAGGTGCACAGGCGGCGATCGCCATCTCTGTACATCCGGGCCCTCCTCCCAGAATTCATCACTTCAATAAGTACCTCGTAAATACCTCCTGGAAATACTAGGATATCTCAAAAAGCTCATGGAAGTTTTGAATTAAAAGATGCTTATGTTGACGCAAAAATATT